AAGTCGTATCAGAATTAGAATTATGGTCCTTCAAAAAAATATTTCTTTTCAGAAGGTATTGGTGCCGTTGCAAAGATGTGTAAAAAGCGATGCGGATTGCGAATTACACAAGAAGGTAGACTTTATTCTCTCTACCAAAAATGGGTTGACGACCAGTCTTCAGGAATGTGCTTTGTGGCAAACGAAACACTTCAACAGCAAGGAAATTTTTTAAATGTTCTTATTCCTGCAAGACCGGACTTTGATGTGTTCGTGAGTTTTGTATTCTACCTTTGTAATTTTTTCGTTGCATGGAAAATCAATTGCCGAACAGAGTTGGGCTTTCAAGCATGGTTCACTAACTCTCAAAGAGCTCTAGCTAGCTTTTATCTCCATCTGGATCTTAATGTGGATAATCGACAGTTCAGAACTTTGTGGGAGTGTCCGACGAAAGAAACGAAATAGTTATGGAACTCGATATAGAAGTTTTTGAGAAGAGCGTTGCTGGATCTCGTTCTCATTTGAAGATGAAACTGCGTCAAAAGCCTGAGCAAGTTTGTTTCTTAGTTCTGTAAATGTGATTTACAAGGTGTGCTGTTTTATCTTGTATGATTCTATAGGGTCCATTCCTACAGTTGGAGCTTCGCGACAAGTTGACGGTACACGAAATCCCAGTTAAACTGCTAAAGACTGCTCATTGGCCAAAATATCAGCGTCCAGATCTCCCTAATCCTACAGTATGAGATTTCTTGAAATATATACTGTTCTTCTGATGTGAATGTATCTCTCACACTTTTAGATGGGTGTTTATTTTCCACCTATAAAGTCAGTCATGCGTGTTCTACATTCCTTGAAAAACGTCTGCAACAAAAACATAGTTAGTTTCTACAGACAGTTCCCGTGCTAGCCTGCTTCTTTTCTCCCCATATCGATCCGAGTCTTCCTTACTGATTTAATGTTTTTTTTAGTCCTTGAAGGTAAGTAATAGCGGTGAGATGCACCTTAAATGCCTCGCGGAGCAAGCAGACATCACGGTCTACTTTAGTAATCTGATGAACGACACCATAACAGGTGAGTTTCATCTCTGAATATTAATATCAGAAGCAGATTTTGGTAACAATTATGTCAAGGCTTCCTTGTGACCTAGTTCAATCGCTTCGAATGAACGTGTTTTTTAATGAATTTTCTAATCGGCCCTTATTAGACAATATAGACTCTGATATTTCGCCCTAGAATTCTTTGATGGTATATGCTTTCCAGAAGAGCAAACTGAAGAGCAGTGGTGCACTGTGAGGTTGCCGTTGAAGGTTCTCCACATGTTCTTCTCTGCGTTCATGTACATGGCGCATTTCAACGTTCTTCTAAGTAAGTCATCTAGTTCTACGTGTGATTTTGATGGTCCCAATTGCTATGATGTTGACTTATGTACGAAACTTTCGGGGTTTTCCGTATAATGCTATCCTGAAAAAACAGTTTTCTGCTCTTTCTGATCTTTGCTTTCTTAGTGAGACTAAACGGTCTAGGACTTGAAACTTTTCAAGAGTACGAGATACACTAGACATAAGTAGTGAAATAATTCTTGCGAGCTCGCAGTAGTTTCCCTCACAGTAATTATCAAAATTCGTGATTCTGAGGTGGTTGTGGGTTATCCCTGACTTATCAAATGATTGCAAACCACTCAGGAGAGTGACGCTTCCGAAAAATCTTTTCAGAAGCTAGATGCAATTGGCCCTGAGCTACACTTGCCTCTAAGCTTATGCTATTCCACGACCCGTTTCTAACCTCAATTTGACTTATAGAAACTTTGTTCGGCTGAATAAATTTTTCATTTCAGATGTTGTATCGGATTATTTCGCAGAATTTATTTTGCGACGAGATGGACTCGTTGTTTCGTTTCTCGTTCGCGGAGTTATTGATGTATCATAGATAATGAAAAATGACGCTCTGTGGGTTTGAAAGGG